ACAAGTTGCTATCCTTTTGTTCTTCAGTCTAGTTGTGGAGGACATTGCTTCACTGGCCCAAGTTGGCACCATCATTGCGCTCTTCCCCGGCGAGGCAGATCAGTCGCTGGCTTCTGGACGGCTACTCACGGCGGCTGCTGGCCACTCACGCTGGCTGCTGGCTACACACGGTAGCCCATGGCAACCCACTGCAGCAGGGGCTGCAGCCTACACCATCGGCAGCCCAACTCCAGGTTGAGCTGTTGTTCAGCATGCTAGCTGTAGAGGGCAGTGTCACTGGCCCTCATATATGGGATCCGAACCGGGGCCCTCTGGCGTCCCCAGCCAGCTCTTAACCAACGCGCCACTCGGCTGGCCCTCAACTTTATTTTCTACTGAATAGATAAGCCAGTTGTTTCAGCCCTACATATTTATATAATCATCTTTTTCTTACAGTTTGAAGTACCATCTTTGTTAATATATTCTATTCATTTCTATACAGTATGTATTTTATAGGTGCAATTGTAAAGGCAGTTATCCCTCTGAATTTTATTTTTTTCGTATGAACATTAAGATCATTTTATTAATAAAAATACCTGCATAGGGATTCTGAAAGAAATGTAGATATTAACTTTAGCAAGAGTGGCGATTTTATTAAGTTTTGCATCTGGGATTTTTCAGATCTTGTGTTTTATGTCCTTAAATAAGATTTTGTGGTTTTAAACCAAGACAAAAAATCCAAAATCTCTAATAGAAGAATCTTAAAACATTTTGGCAAGACATCATGACATCACAAATCAAGTCAATAGACAGATTGGGTGAAATACATTTGACATGTGACAATTTTACTGTGAATAATATATAAAGGATTCTCACAAATTGATAATACAAATGATCAGCCTCAGAAAAATGAGCAAAGGATAGGAGTTGGCATTTCACAAGATAGCAAATCTAAATATTCAGTAAAGATGCAAAACGATGCACAAAACTCTAGTAGTTGGGATAAAGGGAATTTTTACCATTTCAAACCTAGTAGATTGGCAAAAATTAAATAGAGTATTATTAACATCTATTGTTCGCAGGGTAAAAGGTATGCTCATAAATTTCTAGTAAAAAGGTGACTTGTTTTAGCCTTTTTAGAAAATATCTAATTACACACAAATAGTTCTTTGCTCTCAGAACCAATCCCATAGAGATAAAAGCACTAATTATTCATTTTACCAGAGTACATATTGCAACTTTATTGACTGTGGGAAAACATTGGAAACAAAGTGTATGTTTATGATTAGGAAATTGGTAAACAAATTGACGTACATTATGCAATGAAGTAATAGGCAGCTATTATAAAGAAGCTATAACCACGCCACTTGACTTGGAGAGACTTACACAATGTATTACATACACCAAGTAAGATTCAGAGCAGTTTATGTAACTTGGTCACAGTTTTATAAAACAAATAATAAACCTCTCAGAAGAAAACCTCTTATATATGTATTTATTTGTCTGCAGATGATTTTTTTAGTATAATTAATCAATGGGGGAATGGAATTGAAAGGAGAGTAAGAAGGAAAAAAGAGGTAAATAGGAAAGTAATTCTTTAAAAAAAAAGTTACGTTATAAAATAGAGGTGTCCATAATAAACAGCCTGGTATGATAAAGCCATATTTCTATAAATTAAATGTACGTACATTCTTTTCTAGAAAGAAAGGAAAGTCATATTCCACGTGATATGTTTGGCTTTCTTTGTAAGTTTTCTTTGGCTTATTTTACCCAGGTTGGTCCAGATGGTCTGATGAAGCTAAATGGCTCAGCCCTTAACAATGAATTCTTCACTTCAGCAGCACAAGGCTGGAAGGAAAGGCTCTCAGAAGGTAAGTGTTCTTCCTATGTCTCCTAGCATGGTGTGCACTTGGAGTCGCTATGAGGACCTCTGCACCTCCGTGGGCATTTAAACTATCTTGGAAGGCAAATGACAGGTTGTTGCCTAGCTAGCCTGTGTGAAACACACTGCTAGACTTCCATCCAGAGCCTGATAACCAGGTTTGGCTCCAGACAGAGTCCAACAATATGTTTATTTAGGGATTTAAAGTCACCTGGGAAGCTAAAAAACAAGTATGTTTAGGCCCTATTCCTAAAGATTCTGATTCAGTAATTCTAGGTTAATGCCTAGGAATTGAAATTTCAATATGTTCCCTAATATGCAGAGTATAGAATTAGAGTTATTTTTATGGTGCTATGAATTATGGTTTGATAAACAGTGAGGTAACCTCTTTATTGCTCCCAAACCTCAATAAAACTAACAGTGAAAACAATAACTGAGAACTTGTTAAAAAACAGCTTTATTGAGAAATGTTTCATATACTGTAAAATTTACCCATTTGAAGTGTACAGTTCAGTGGCAGTCAGGATGTTTTAATAAATATAGATTATGACTGAGAATTGCTGACTGTGGTCACTGGTTTGCCATGTATGCCATGTTTCTAATTGTGATCTAGCAAATTTACTGACGGTAAATTATAAAGTATAAAAAAAATATTGGTTGCATTTGCACAGCATGTAGTGTCAGTCATTATTAGCAATTCTTAACCCTGACTGCTCATTTTATTTTATTTATTTTTAAGATTTTATTGGGGAATTGGGGAAGGGGAACAGTGTTGGGGAATTGGAGAAGGGAAACAGCCAAGTTGTTGTCCTTGAATCTTAGTTGTGGAGGGTGCAGCTACCTCAGCTCCAAGTCAGTTGCCATCCAGTCGCCTGTAGGCATCTCGCAGCCGCTCAGCTCAAGGTGCCGTGTTCAATCTTAGTTGTGGGTGGGCATAGCCCACCATCCTATGCGGGGGTCTAACCGGCAACCTTGTTGCTAGGAGCATGTTCTCTCACCAGCTGAGCCATTCTGCTACCTGTTGGAAGCTCAGCGGCAGCTCATCTTGGGGGCAGCTCACTGACCCATGTGGGAATCGAACCGGTGACCCTGTTGCTCAGAGCTTGTGCTCTTAACCAACTGACCCACTCTGCCAGCCCTGACTGCTCATTTTAATCACCTGTAGCGTTTTTAGAAATACTGACATCCAGGTCTCTCACTCTCAGCGAGTTTTTGTTTTTGTTTTTAAGGTAGAACCTAGCATTTTATTTAGATCTTCATTAAACTGTTGGAATTGAGAACCAGACATACGTAATAAACCTCCAAAAATAGATCCTGAAAGGCACTTTCTGCTGAGGGCAAGCAGTCATGGAATAAGCATGTAAACAAGCTGGCTTCTCTGTACCACACCAGCCAAGTCAGCTTTCTCCATGGCCAGCTGCGCCAGCTCTGCCCTCCCTTGTTAACACCAGCCAGACCTCCTATAGGTCTAACCCAAGGTTTTTCTGTAGGACACCTTGGCCTACCTGGGAATGCTGGAAACGTTAAAGGAATCATGGTGTTGAGGAAAAAAAAGAAAAATCTTTTAAAAGCTGCCATCTGAGGTGATGGCTTCTCTGTACTTACGCCACACCCCAGAATACAATAAATAAGCAATTAGAAAATGTTCAAGCATGAAGGGATTTCCTCCTCCCACCAAAAGCACTGCAGTCTGAAGGAAGCTGGTTTCTCTGTAGCTACACCATCAGCGAGTTTGTTTTAACTGATCTAGGATGGTGCCCAAGCAATAACCAGTGGTTGTTGTTTTTTTTAAGTTCCCCCAAGTGATTCTCATATGCAGCCATTATTAAAACCACTGGCTGTATTATTTTGATTTCATATCTTACATTTGTTTTTCAGTACACAAGGAATACAGACTAACACTTGAAAAGTCATATAAAGTTACTCCAAGAAATAGCTGCAAACAAGCATTAGGAGCTTCAAAATAATAAGTACATTTATACGGAGAACATTAGGAATACTTTTCATTTCTTACTTTTTGTCAGATCATTTACAGTTAGAGTTCATTGACCAGTTAATTAATATCTATATTGTTCACTGCAATTGTTGACTTTTCCCTTCCTATTTTTCTTTTTAGAACAGATTTACTGTAGAAGGGATCTCTTGCTGATTACTTTGGTCTTTTCTCTTTCTTAAAGATTTCCTTGAGTAGAGATCCTTGTTTTCTAAAAGAATTGAAATCACACAAGCATTTTAAAATACATCCGTTACCATTACCTTTCTTAAAGAATAATTTGGTAAAGGATTTATGCCCGCAACTCCTCAATGTTTTTAAGCAGGTATTATCAACAAGGGTACCTTGATAATTATCAACATTCATATTTTATATATATATATATATATATATATATATATATATATATATATATGCAGTCACTATTAAACCTAGTCATGTGATTCATTATATTTTATGAGTAGCAAAATCTTTGAACACTGAACAGAGTTTAGTACTTTTTATTCCTCGTTCTGTATGTACAGTACACTCAACAAAAGAGCAGAAGTTCTGAATTGGATTCTGACAGCCAGATTCCTCTTTTCATTCTTCCACTGCCCTCTGAAACTTTTCCTTTTCCTCTTCTTACTTCTAGGAGGTCTTAAACTTCAAGTCTTCCATTTCTACCTCTTATTCCCTGGTGTCTTGGGTATTAAAGTATGAAAAGAAGTGGCCTTTCTGAGCCACAAGTTTAAAGATGGCCTACTAAGCACATTGACTATTCTCTGCTGATGGAGTGGGAAAGATTGAGGTGTGGTTACTAGTATATGCAGATAAATGGCATATTCAGAGCAGCTGGGTCTTTGGCGTGTTGAGTGCCTTGTTGCTAGGGCACTAGACTGGTACAGTTTCTGGAAAATTAGAAAACTGACAACTCCAAAATAACTCCCTATGTTTTTACTGGAACTTCAAATGCCTTTAATCGGGGCCACAGCTGTTCATTATGCAGGTGAGAGAAAAGGCCTAAAACACAAGTTGCCTTGGAGAAACAAAACTTTAATAAAATGCCCAGTGGCATTATTTACTGAAAGCTCATGAGCATTTTTCCAGTGGAAAACAATTACTAATTCAAGGTTAGTGATACAAGAAATCTGTATGGAATATGATGTTTGGAGCAGGAGGGAGGGAGGCGCTACCACTAGGAAAGCCCAAAGAAGAGGCCCAGTTGACCTCAGCTGAGTACTGAAAACTGCATGGAGTGGTGTGCAAGTGTTTTTATTTCATCTAATGGCACTTTGGGATTCCCTCACAGTGAGGAGGAACTTGGAGAAATTTCTGTTGCTCACAGGCTAGTACTCTGACTCCTTCATGAGTCTTTCATGATTTACAAATTGTTAAAAATTGCAAACAGCATATTTCTATTGAATATCTTTTTTGTTTTTTGGGGGGGTATGTTATAGGTGAGTTTACACCTGAGATGCAGGTGAGAATTCGACAAGAGATTGAGAAGGAGAAAAAAGTAGAGCCATGGAAAGAACAATTCTTTGAAAGCTACTATGGTCAGAGGTAATATCAAGATCGGTTCTATAAATCAGATGTTAATTCCTACATGTCATGTGGTGCTTCATCTTATTACCTTTCCAGAAAATCTAGTATGTTTTTCCTTCTATTTTATCACCAGTTTCCTTTTTTTTTAATTTTTTTTACCAATGCTTTACTGAGAAAATTCTTTTCTTTTTATGAATCTCAGGTGCACAGAATTGGATTACTCATAATCTTTGACTCTTAACACATTACCATTGTGGGTGGGATGGTTTCTTTAAAAAAAAAAAAAGATTTTATTATCTTGAATTAGAGTCCCTTTCTTCGAATAGATTGGCTCTTCTTCCAGTAACTTTATAAGATATAAGAATACTGAAGTTCTGTATGAGGTGTGATCAAAAGATACAGTGAATGTTTAAATTTAAAAAATTATTACAGGACCAGACGAGTGGTGCGTTGGTTAAGAGTTGGCTTGGGACACCAGCTCTGAGCAGCAGGGCCCTGGTTCGGATCCTACATGAGGGCCAGTGACGCTGCACCCTCTACAGCTAAGATGGTGAACAATAGCTCGACCTGGAGCTGGCCTGCCGTGAGTCGCCGGCGACGGCTTAGGCTGTAGTGGGGCTGGCTGGCAGCTGGCGTGCGCTTTTTGAGCTGCCGTCCAATGGCCTGTGAGTGACTGCCTCACCCAGGAAGAGTGCAATGATAATATCAACATGGCCCAATGAAGCGATGTCCTTCACAACTAGACTGAAGAACCAGATGACAGCAACTTGTCTGTTCCCCTTCCCTGCTTCCCCAACACTGTTCCCCTCCCCCAATTCCCCAATAAAATCTTTAAAAAAATAAAATAAATAATAAAAATTAAATAATTATTACAGAAAAAGACGCATTGCCATTAATCCTCCTCAAAATACTCCTCACTTCGAACACATTTATTCCATCTTTCTTCTGAAACAGTTCTGGAAGTCCTGTTTCATGAGTATCTTTAGTTGTGCTGTGGTGGCTGCCTTGATGTCCTGAATAGATTCAAAATGTTTACCGTGGGCTGGCCCAGTGGTGCGTTGGTTAGGAGCTGGCGTGGGATTAGTGAACGGCTGTCCAATTGCCTGTGAGCGACTGCCTCACCCAGGAAGAGCGCAATGATAATACCAACATGGGCCAGCGAAGTGGCATCCTTCACAACTAGATTGAAGAACAAAAGGACAGAACCTGTCTGTTCCCCTTCCCCGATTCTCCAATGCTGTTCCCTCCCCCAATTCCCCAATAAAATCTTTAAAAAAATAAAAGTGGTAAACATTTTACCGTTCATGGTCATTTTGACTGGGGAATAACCAGAAGTCACACAGCGCCAGTTCGGTGAATAAGGTGGATGAGGACACATTGGAATGTTTTTATTTGAAGTTGCTGTGCCAGAAGTGATGTGTGACACGGAGCCTTTCTGTGTGATCACAAAAGATGGTGAACGCTGCTGTCACATGCCATCCAACGGAAAGTCAGGGATCTTCAATACAGGAAGCAGTGTATCAAACCTTTGTAACCGTGTGTGACAAGTTTCAACTTATTTGGTGCAGTTCGTCGAGTGTAAGCTACGGTTGAGAAGGTGTGTTTTAAAGTGTGCCGTAAGTCATCCTCCATCATGACAATGCTCCATGTCACGTATCATTTCTGCAATTCGGCAATTTCTGTCAAATAATAACATTATGGTTTGTTCTCATCCACCTTATTCACTGGATCTGGTACCGTGCAACTTCTGGCTCTTCCCCAGTCGAAATGACCATGAACGGTAAACATTTTGAATTGATTCAGGACATCGAGGCAGCCACAACAGTGTAAAGACACTCATGAAAGAGGACTTCCAGAACTGCTTCAGAAAGTGGCAAATATGATGGGATAAGTGTGTTTGAAGAGAGGAGGAGTATTTTGAGGGGGATTAATGGCTATGTGTCTTTTACTGTAATAAATTTTTTTTTAATTTAAACATTCACCGTATTGTTTGATCATACCTCATGTATTTTTTATAGTAGTTAATTATCCCACAATATGATAACTTACCCATAATCACCAAGGAATCCTAGGGTCCTGTAATGTGGATCGTTATATCTAACATTTAATTGAAACAGTCTCTTCTCCGTAGAAGGCACCCTGGGAGATGTATATAGCTGAAAGAAGATAGAAACCCTGTTCTCAAGGGGCTGTAGTCTAAATCCGTTTTTTCTAACAAAAACTCCAAATGAAATCTTAATGGGGGATATTTAAATAGGTGACAGTGGAGCTGTACTGTTTGAAACAGGATTGAACACTCAGAGTCTTATTTGTTAGTCTCCCTCCCTCCGTTCTGCATACCTAAGGACAGCTCTTAAGGAGACTCCATAACCGCAGCTTGAGAACTATTGGCTGTCTTCCTTATCTCCACCCAGTGTTCATTGGCCCTTCCATGGTCATTTAGGAAGTGATTCCTGTTGAGATTAAGAGTCTCATACACTGATTTTTCTATATTCTTGGTGTGAGCTTTGAGTTCTACAGAAATGGTGTGTATACATTTAGACGATTATTACAGATATCAAGTATTCCATAAACACTGTTCATGCCTTCCTGATTAGTTCTTGGGTTCTTCAGTTTTCAGCTCTGACGTTTTGCCAGATTTTATAGAAGGATTGTTCTTGATTACTGTCTAGTTTTGTCCTTAGCCATTCCATCTCAGGTGCAGTACTGATTATTTGAAGTCGCCAAAAGACCTACCTTATTTTTGACTGTTACACAATATTCTAAAACGTTAAGAGTAGTCTCTAGTGATCCTACAGAGTAGCCTAGCTCTTAGCCAGGACACACTCTGGAAGTCCCAGTCCACCTTCACTCCAGGAGAGCTCAGAGGCACTCGATGTCAGAATTTTAGAGCTATACCATGTAAAATTTCAACAGGCTTTCCCAAAACTCAAGAGTTACAATTCTCAACCTCTGGAGAACATTGACAGCCAACTCTCCTACTATCTCCTCAGGGCCCCTTAGATTTCTTGGGCCAGCCTTTCCACAGGTACTGCACAGCAGAGCTGATCACAGTCAAGACCCACAATCTCAGGGGGCTTGGGTCTTGGCCTTCTTTCACTTCCCTTGTGGGTAGTCTGTGATGCATGTCTCTAGACAATGTGGCCCCTTTATAACAGGAAGTAATAATAATAATTAGCATTATTGAGCTTTTATTACAGTTAGGTACTGTCCTAAGTACTTTACATACATTAACTTAGCTAATTAACATAGCAACACTATGAAGTGATTAACTTCAGTGTGCAATTGAAGAAACTGAGGTACAGAAGGCTAGTCCCTTAATATCACATGGATAGCCAGTATCAGAGCCAGGATTTGCTTCCAGGGACTCTGGCTCCAGAACTTTCACTAATAATAATAACATCAGTGAAGATAATATATGAAAAAGACCTACCATGTATCAGGTTCTTCTAGGCATTGCCATATACCGTTACCTCATATTGCCTTCAATAACATGGGCCATTTCTCATCTAGAATATTTCTTTCTTCTACCTTTTAGTTCTGGACTGAGCCTTGAGGATTCAAAGAAATTGACAGCTTCACCCAGCGATCCCAAAGTAAAGAAAACCCCAGCAGAGCAACCAAAATCCATGCTTCCTTCAGAGGCCTCTCCTGTCAGTATAGTCCCAGGAATTCCCCAGTTAGAGTCTAAAGAAGAAGTAGTGTGTATGCCATCACCGGTCAGAAAAGAAGAGCACGAAAGCCAAGATAAGATGCAGCCAAACTCCAAATCCACAGAGCCCCTCCTTTCCTCAGCTAGCAATACAAATGAGCTTAGCAGCGTTCTTCCCATCAAGTGCCCAAAGGATGAGGATGTCTCGGAGCAGAAGCCAGCAGCATCTAGTGAACAGGAGCCTGAGAAAGAGAATCATCTCACTACAGCTTCTTATCATAACAAAAATGAAAGCCAAGAGGCTTTAGTTACATCTTCAAACAAACCCAAGAGTCCTGGAGTGGAAAAACCAATAATGAAGCCCATAATAGAAGCAGGTCCACAGGAGACTGCTATGAAAGAGCCTCTGTCAACTCTGGTTGACCACAGCCCAGAAAGCCTCAAGAGGAAGTCTTCTCTCACCCAAGAAGAGGTCCCTACGAGCTGGGAGAAAAGGCCACGTGTCACTGAGAATCGCCAGCACCAGCAGCCATTTCAAGTCTTGCCGCAGCCCTTTCTCAGTAGAGGGGAGAGGATCCAGGTGCGAAAAGTACCACCTCTCAAGGTAAGAGAAAGGGAAGAGCTGAAAAAAAGAGATGACTTGAACACTAAGTTTTTGGTCATGTCTAACAAATTTCAAGTAATTTGTAGTATTTCTTAATGCAGAAGCAGTTTTATATATTTCATATGCATGTAACTGGTCTTATGAATAAAATTATTAATAAACAGCCATTTAGAACTATATTCCTATAGATCTTTGTTGGTGTTTGCATATCTGATGTTAACTACCTCCACCCACCCCTCTGTTGGCTACTCTTGTCTTTTAAGATAGTTATGGAAATTATTCTGTCTCACGTGACAAAATAAGTATAATGATAAACATGAGGAGGCCATTGGTGTGATCAAGAGATCATATCTTAGTACCAAGACCCGTGATATTTAATGTTGAGCTTGGCCCTTTTCTTACTGCCATAACTGATTTGATGTTCTGTGTGTCTTTAAAGGTAGTCTGAAACTACCTTTAGTTTCATCCTTTTAAAGGAAATGTGTGTGGCTACCAAGAGTCACCACTGGTTACTTGAAGGACATGGGTAAGATGGAATAGCCTTGCTAATAAGCTCTACTGCTTAGGTTATAGCATTGATTTCAATTTTAACTTTAAGTTATTATGTGTCAAATCTTTCAAATACCTATAGCAGTGTCTCTATCTTAATATATAAAGACTGCATCTAACCACTAATGAGCCCTTGAAAACCCAAGCACATTTTTCTTTCTGATCTAAAGGTTTATTAATACTTGGGTTGTGCTTAATACCAGTTTGCAGCCCATTTATTCATTTAATAAAATATTGATTGATATTTTTTATTAATAGTATTTATTAATGCCGCGGTGTCTACTGTGAGCCCAGGCACTGGGTATTACTCATTCACATTAGGATATAAGTAGAAAAGTCAAACAAATACTTTTTTCCTTTTTTTGTTTAACTTAGATGAACCAGTTAGTTCTATCAGGAAATGTCCCTTGGAAACATTCAGTTGCTTGTACTTCACCCATTTCATGCACCATGTGCCTCCTCTCTCTCTCTTTGCTTATTACTAATAGCATGATGTTCTTTATTACTTTTTATTTTTAAGTTTTATGGTTTCAGCACTTAGGAATCTCTTTTTTTCTTATTTTTTTTTATACTTTTCTACTATTAACATTCATTGTCATGCTTTACCAAAGATTCTGATTTATATGATAATCATTTTTACTATTCTTATAAGAAATATTAGAAACCTTTCTTTAATGATTATCAATCAGAACTTATCTCCAGACCTGAGAGCTGAGGTACAATTTAGGTTTTACTTTATATAAATGACACTGGTTAAGATCCATCGTTTCTATTCCTCATCTGTAAAGAGGCTGAATTACATCATATTCAGTCTGCTTTCAGCTAGTCCAAAGAGGCTCAACACTGAAAACCTAAATCCATTGTGGGCAAGTTAATATTATTTTAACATTTTTCCTTTAATTTTCTTCTTCCTTATTCCCCCCAAAAAGACTTTCTACCAGAAGTTGGTTTTTACCTTAGATCCTATCTCAAATCCCACTTTCTTAGACCAAGTTTAATTTATTACTTTAAACAAATTTAAGTAGAAAAACAAATTTTGAGTTTTATTACAAACGTTATACATATGTATATAAAAATTATATATGTGAATATGTATGTTAAATATACACGTCTATAACATGTGCAGATGTATATATATAGAGAGAGAGATGGAAAACCACAACACACATTGTATGTTTTCTATACAGTATACATTTAAAAAGAGAAGAATCTTAGTTCCTTTGCTCTACAGGGGTTGGACTTCTCAGTTAAGTTAAATTGTTATCAGTGCCTAGACAACTTTGAGTGGTTATGAACTTAAAAAGAAAGTATAATATCCCATTTATTCCACATAAACAGGTAACGGCTATTTACATAAATAACTGAATCTTATTTTTTTAAATTAGTTTCAGGTGTACAGAACAATACAATAGTTATAGTGTTCACGCTTCACAAAGTGACAACCCCCCTCCCCTAATAACTTACTTTTTTTTAAGTATTAAAACTTTTAATTTTAACTACTTTTAATGATTGTCCTGTTACTAATGATTTTCAGTCATTATAGTAGATATTATTTATTGTGCTAGGTGTGTTTTTACTTTCAAGATTATTCTTGATGTTGTTTGTCCCTATGTACAATTACCCTGAACATCTGTGCTTTTACTTTCTAGTTTTATAGATTTTTTTTCCCCCCGTGTTAGGGTCTCTTCTGGGTGACATTACTAAGGGCCAACAATTGCTTCTTTCTTGTTGTGGGCAGCTTCTAAAATACTGTGTGCAATTGGATGTAAAATAGATTCAGCTTTACGAGAGCTATTAGGTGTGTCTCATGATGTGAAATATGTGAACTCCCTGACCACTGTTACACAATCTCACAACTCTAACACCTGAGTGACAGAATCATTTCTTCCAGGATTGCTGACCTTTTGAGGAATGGCTATTGCAAATAAAGAAAAGTCCTTAGATATTTTATTATTCAACTAGGAGTTCCAGAAAAATGACATGCATTTTCTTAGAGCTCAGTGGCTTGATTTTTTTTTTTTTAATTAAATGCCCTAGAACATCAGTTATTTGCTTCTTTCAACTCTACCAACTACTAGAAGGGCCTGGATCTTGGTGCATTCTAAAACTGTAATAGCTCTCAAAGTATGGTTTCAAACAGGAGTTACATTCCTTTCAGATACATTATTTTATGACCTGAAAAATCAATGGGTTCAAACCTGATGATGCATCAGAATCTCACAGGAAGCTTTTTAGAACAGCTTTTTTTCCCCTAGGGGTTCTAATTTGTAAGTTTTGGGATAGGACTCAGCATATATATTTTTAAAAAGCTGTACAGGTAAGTATAATGCTAGCCAGGGATGAGAATGATCGTGGTAACGTTACATATGTTACAGACATACTCCCTCATGTGGGTGGGCAGAGTGGGGACACCTGTGGATCACACAGTCTTCTAGTGTTACCTAGAAGCCGCTCT